GCCAAGCACACGCCTCTCGTGTTGTCCCTCAAAAAAAGGTTTTAAATCCTAACAGAACACTGCGACAAGAAAGCTCACCTGCGACAGCTTCTTTGATTCGCGGTATTCAGACTACAACTCAGACCTGGGGGCTGAGGGTTTGCAAGTCGGCATGTACTAGGCTCTAAACAGTATAGACTTCCCCAGCAAAGTCTACATCTTGACCAGAGTGTCGTCGTGCGGGCTGCTCCAATTTGGGGTTCAAGTTCACATCCCACAAACGTACCGGTACGACTGAAGCAGAATCCCCGATTCGCAGACTACATTGCACTCGGCCCCATGACCGCTTAACTCCAGTCCCTAGCAAGAAATGCTGCAGTCAAGGTGCCTGCAAAAGCACAGGGATCACTGACGCCTGCATGCGGGATGCGAGCACGTGAAGTTTATGCCTGCTTCGATTCATGTGGATATGGGAGGGCCCCAGGGCTTTGGAAATGTATCACATCATGGGATATACTTTATTGTGTAGTACTTTCACGCATACTATCCCCAATGTTGCAATTCAGGTTTATACGCGAGTATATACATATACATATGTGTATATCTATATCTATATATATACATACAGATGCATATTGGATTAGATATGCACATACGTACATACATATGTATATGTATATATGCAAGTATGTGTGCGCACACTGGTAGAATCTGTGTACAACATATATACAATTGCAAGCATAAATCATGCCAATCCACAAATATGCACATGCAAAAATGTGTAAGTGCTCATTTAACGAATAAGCTACAAGCTGCTTACTAAATACAAAACATGGACGATTGGATAAACATGCAGATGCGTGTTATACGTGTATGCGTATGTGTATGTATATACACATATGTATGCACACAACTGTTTGTCATATGCTACTGTTCGCCTTGCTGTTGATGCAAGAAGATTGAGCAAGGAAGTGTCACTGCACGCACAAAGAAGCCGAAACATTCAAGCACTTGATGCTGCCACGTTTGCTATCACTGTTAACATAGGGGCCACCCACTAGGGGCCTTAATGATTCAAAGATGCTTTTGAGGTACGCTGAAGTATACTTATATAGGAAATTCTCAGACGGATGCGATTGCAACATATTCCGACCCCTATCTCATACTACAAGAACAAAGACACAACAACCATACTTCCCCTATTGCCAGCACGGAACTAACTAGTTCTCCAGCCTGCACCAATGTGCAGTTTTCAGGCACCTACACATTTAAGCCTGCCAGAGCTGCAAACAACCAAACCCAGAAACGAACCAAAGCTGAACCTCACAACCTCAGCCCTAGGCGACAACTTTGAGCCTTCGGTTGGCCGAGCGGCCTTTTGACACACACACACACACGCACACACACAAACACACACAGTCCTCAATACCATCCCTAAAGCAACCTACTTTGCAAACCCGGTGGAATAAGCACCTAAGTGCCTTGAACAAAAGAGCTGAGGCCCTGGACACTGCACCCAAATCACTCGGCCCCACACCTTCAACCCCAAACCGAAACCCCAATCAAAATCTAAGCCCTGAAGCTCTAGAAACTAAACCCTAAACCCTGAAACCAAAGGGCTCTAAAGCCCTAGAAACCGAAACCCAAACCCAGGTGCCTGGCCCAGCTTGGCTAAGGAACTGCTCAGCATCTTCTTCGAACATTTCGCGGAGCGCCGGTAGGTAGCCTTTTCGGGTTTAGGGGTTCAGGGGTTTAGGGATTAGGGGATTTGAGGGTTTGGGTTTAGGGGTCTGAGGATTTAGGGATTTAGGGTTCAGTAGGGGCTTAGGATTTAGTACGGGTTTGGGGTTTAGCAGGGGTCTAGGGTTTAGGGGTTAAGGAATTTAGTCGTTTAGGGTATTCAGGGTGCAGTAGGGGTTTAGGGCTTAGGGGTCTTGGGGCGTAGGGTTTAGGGTTTAGTAGGCGTTTAGGGTTTAGGGCTTTAGGGGTTTAGGGATACGTAGGGGTTTAGGGTTAAGGGGTTTAGGGATTTAGGGTTTAAGGGTTTAGGGGTTCAGGGTTTACATAGAGGTTTAGGGTTCAGGGTTTAAGGATTAGGGTTCAGGTAGCCTGTCATCTGAGCGCTTTGGAGTTCAAAGGGTTTCAGGCAAGTAAGGGCAAGTGGAGAATTGCTTAGATGTCTGTTGATCTTAGGTTTTAGGGTTTGCTCTGGGGTTTGGGCCTTAGTTGGTTGAAGAACGCTTCTGGGTTTTGGGATTTAGGGATGTTGCGTGAGCATCTGACACCTGGAAGTGACAGGAGGATCGATTCTTGCTACCATCAGCAGGTCACTAACACATCAAACTGACAGGCCTTGAGATACTGTAGGGGCCTAAATCGTTGCAAGCGGGTTCGCTGACAGGTAGGATTTTAGACTGTATTACAGGTGCTCTTGGGTCAGGGCGTCTTGGAGTTCACTTCGGCTTTGCTGCAAAACGTGGCAGGCACGACATTTTCCATACTTTTCCAGAGCCAGCTCATGAACATTCTGTGCTTTTGTTGTCTTTGCTTGACAACACTGAATCGACGCAGAAACACTGCACACGTTTCTGCGCCCTATCTTGCTGCCTTACTTAAGGTTTCTGTGTTCGGTGTTGGGGGGTGGGTGGGGGGATGATGACGTACATATCGGGCGTTTCAGCGACCGCCTCTGGCCAAGTCCCGCAAAAACCCAGTCGAAACCATCCCTGTTCGTGAACACGCTGGGAAATCGCTAGAATAGGGTTTTGGGGCCGATAATTCTATAACTATAAAAGGAACCCCCCCAAAAATAGTATTGTTAATTATTCAGGCCCCTATACTACTAGGTTTTGCTGAAGCTGTGCGCAGGGCTATCCAACATCCCCAAAGCCCGTGGGAAATCTTGGATTCAAGAACATGCACCTGGGGCATCACCACCTTCCCTGAGCATCCAATTAATTGAAAGGCGTGAAGCTCCACCCCAGATCTTAAACTGTCGACTCTCGAGATGGCATGGCCTCACAACGCTTCAAGAATGCTACGACATTTCGTCCCGATGTTTGTTGGATGCATGCTGCTCCGATAGCTTCCTCAAGCCCTGGACCCCTACACCCTAAACTAGCCGAAACCTCAATGACAAAAATGATTACAGCCTAAACTATCCAAACTTCCGGCTGGAACAGTACTTCGGACTAAAGGGAAAGCCTTGCCTTGGTCCAAGGCCTTCAGCTTAGAAACAACAACTGCTCTTCCGGCACTTTTAACTTTTCGTCTATGCTTATAAACAAGAAGAGAGTACTACCTTTGTGCTTGGGCCGTCAACAATCAGCCGTAGACCCGCTATATCATCCCCTCGCGTTGCCCATGAGGCACCCAAGAAGGAAACGGCTTCGGCAGAAAGCTTAAAACCTATGGAACTCTGAAATCCTTAAACCCTAAACTCTCAAAGCTCAAACCCTAAATCCTTCAACCTTAAAACCGGTAAACCCTTAACCCCTAAACCCCCTAAACCCTAAACCCCCAAAAACCTAAACCCTAAACCCCTAAACCCTCCACCCTCCAACCCTAAACCTCTAAATCCCGCAATCCCTAAACCTCCGGCCTTCGAAGAGATCGACCTCGTAGCTGGTGCCCCCCTCGTCGAGCAAGCCTCGCTGATCTACTGTCGGGCTCCTTTAAGAGCTACGGGTTCCTCGGTTTAGGGTTTAGGGTTTAGGGGTTTAGGGGTTTAGGGTTTAGGGGTTTAGGGTTTAGGGTTTAGGGTTTAGGGGTTTAGGGTTTAGGGTTTAGGGTTTAGGGGTTTAGGGTTTAGGGTTTAGGGCTTTAAGGGATCAAAAAGGGATCTATAAGGGATCTAGATGGGGATCTATATAGGGTTCCTTCAAGGGATCTATAGGGGATCTATATACGGCTCCTTTAAGGGATCCTCTAAGGGATCTTTTCAGGGTTCCTTTAACGGATCTATATAGGGTTCCTTTACGGGATTTATAAGGGATCCTGTAAGGGATCTATACAGGGTTCCTTTAAGGGATCTATAAGAGCTCCTTTAAGTGATCTATAAGGGATCTATATAGGGTTCAGGATTTAGGGGTTTAGGGTTAGGGTTAATGTAAGAACCTGATGAAGAACCTTGGGCCTTTAGGAGGGCTCCTTTTATGAATCCTACTGTTTTGGGGTTATAGGTCCAGGGTTTCTTAATCAGGTTGCTACATTACTTGTCTTACGAGCCACCGTGAGGCCTTAGAGCTTCGGATTTTCGAGCTTTAGAGCTTCGGATTTTCGAGCTGTAGGGCTTTGGAGTTTCGAGCTTTGGGGGCTTTAGGGCCCTGGTGAGGCTTTACAGTAGAAGCCAGAAAGTTGGAACATGGGTTAAGGAGGATTAGCGCTAGGATCCCTTATACTTTCCTTTAGGGGCATGAGGTTACTAATGTTCCAACTTTCTGGCTTCTACCATAAGGTTTATTGGATTGGGGGTTTTGAATTTTGTTCGGTTTTAGGGTTCAGGGTGAGCGGTCGGAGTTGTCTTCAAAAGAAGAAGGAAGCCGAGATCGACCTTGCCATAATTTATATAGGGGCCTCGATAATTAGAATAGGGTTTTGGGGCCCATCATACTATACTTATAATAAGGAACCTGACAAGGGTGGGTTTCGAGAACGGTTGGATCCAACAGTGCTAAGTTTAACAAAGGATAAACGAGCCCAAGCACATTTAACGGGACAGACAGCATGCTGGGCCATCTGCGCAATGCTGTCAAAACAGGCCACCCGACAAACCGCTGTACTACGAGCATCGCGGGGCTACAGAGACAACGGAAAAGCCTCTCCTGCAAACTCGGAACAGGATAGCCGAAGTTGCTACAACTGGATTCAGGCATGTGTAGGTTTCGGGGAATACCGCAGGCCTCCTAAAAAACCTAATTATGCCCCTATACAATTCAGCAGTGAAACTCGGGTGGAATTCTGGGCTTTAGGATTTCAGGCTCTGGAGTGTGGGTTTAGGGTGTAAGGCATGGTCATGAAGGCTGGTGCTTTCATACTGCACTTCCAACCTCCCCTATACCTACTAGCTTACCGTCACCTGGTTCAACATCTTCAGCTCTTGCGACCTCCAGAAACAACGTCAAAGAAGCATGGGACCTTGGATTCTAGCAGACGCTTCTGAAGCCAAGATACTCACTCTGCCAGGAAAGAAGATTTCCTCGTTTGCCTGGGATCGAAAAGTCGGTGGTTATCGCCACTTTTACTCCCAACGCACTGAAGCCTAAACGCGAAACTTTCAACTCTCTACCCGGATGACATCCAAAACCATTTGAGCCCTGAAACCCCTTTAAGAGCCCTTGCGATAAGACCCTCACTAAACGTGTATAAAATAAAGGGCTTGGATATATGAAACCCTGGAACACCCCCAAAACCGAATGTCAGCCAAGTATTGAGGTTCACTGTTTCAACTGGGTGTTGAATGTAAGGCCCTGTGGGGTTTACCTGTGACTCCAGTGGTTTAGGGTTTAGGGTTTAGGGACGTAGCAGCCTGGGCAAGGAAGACTGTAAAATCACGTAAAGATGTGCAATCATAAGAGCGGTGTGGGGTCAGAACCTACCATTTTGTAAGGTTTCTGGTACCTCGCTAGGCAACGATGCGCACATGCAAAACCCTAAAGCCCTGAACCCTAAGACCCCGAATGCTAAAACCCTAAAACTTTTCGAAACGGAGTCTGCAGAAGCGATGAGGGTCTCGAGACCGTGCTTTCAAAGCACCAATAGCATCCGCCCTAGCTGTGGGGTTTAGGGTTTACCTTAAACCGGAATAACCTACCGTGTTAAGGACTTATATAAGGAAATCATAATTAAGGAACCCTAAAAAGGTATATATGTTATTCAGGGTTATATAAGGTAGGACTTTGACGATTGAGGGGTTCAGGAACCATGTTGCAGGGTCTTGAGCGGTTTAAGCTTTCGGGCTTGAGGATGTTTTCGGGTTTAAGCTTTCGGGCTTGAGGATGTTTTCGGGCTTAGGGCTTGAACCGTGCATGCTCTGTAAATGGCAAACCTCAGGACGAGCATCATCAACCTGTTGGAGCATTCCCATAGCCCAGGCAGATGTTCCTCCATCCTTCTGCTTCAGGACAAGCAGTCGCCAGTAAATCCCCAGCATCACACCTAGGTTGGGCTTACGTCTCTGTAAATGTTAGGGACTAGATTCGGGTTTATGGTCCATTTATGGTTGTGGAAGTGGCAGGCAACAGCAATGGCTGGCAAGACTTGCTCTTGTTGTACCTGCTCCGGTGAGGTGCCTTAAATGAAAGGAAACACTGTGGGGTAACGCCGGCCGGCGGTGCGTGACATGCGGCAGGATAGAGACATAGAGAGAAAGATAGAGACGACAAGAACAAGAACAATACGAATGGTTAACAAATAAAGCCGGCACTAAGAATTATAATGAATGCGAGAACACGAAGCTCTGAGGACAGTGAATGTAATTCCTGAAGCTCCACAAGCAACGAAGTCATCACATATTTTGACAGAACTTCTGCAGTCCAGCACCAGAAACCCTAAACCGCAAACCCATAAACCCTATAGAAAGTCTCTGTACGAGGCACTCACCACACGTTGCTTATCGCAAGGATTGCTGCTGGCGTGGCAGAGTTGGCAGCAGGTGCTAGTACCATTCCTGGGCAGCCACGCAGACAAGGGCTCGGAGGAGCTTTTATCTTCCACAGTCGGCTCCTCATGGTCGCTCCATTTGTGCTATGTTGTGCATGTTAGTACTCAAGGTTTCCTTTGGCCGGTCTTGCCGTAGACCGCAGTGGTTGGCTGCTTTTCTGCTCTGATCTTTCATGCTACCAATAACTCCGGTTTCCCTGCTGCGTTACTTCTACTCCCACCACCATCATATCCAGATGACGACTGATCTGATGCAACAGTAGTCAAAACACAGGCAAGTCGGGGACCGTTCCATTCACTACCACTACGATGGATTGTATTATGCATCATAAACGAAATGTGGTAACTGTAGCAGAACTTTTGTACATAGGTCATACATCCTGGCAAAGGTTAGACCGACAGCCCAGATGCAATGCAAAAAGGAACGGCTGACGTAAGCAAAGCTGCATGACGCCCAATGCCTGCTCAGAAAGCGGCTCGTCCTGTTGCTGAGAAAGGGGAGCCAAGGCCCAGATGAGGGAATCAAAGACCCCACAAGCCTGAAGGGCTTTGTGGGCATATGTCAACGGTGCAGGCTTTGTAGCTTCAAATGGTTGATTCCACGTCCCCTTCATTCTAAGCGCCAAGCCCCCAAGCCGTCCTCCTCCAAGCCATCATCTGTGTATAGGAAAGTCTCGTCATGCCGCCCAGCACGACTCACCGTGAAACACAGCCTTCATGCAGGGCGGGGTTTGGGGATGTGGGTTTGGTGCCTATACATCTTCAGGGTGCTGGAAAGCCAGCTCAAGCCACGACGACACGCTGTGCGAAAGATGAAAAAGCACTACCGGAATGAAAGGCAGAATAACTTCCAAGTGCTGTGTACATTAGCTGTACATAAGGGACTTGTCTTCGAACCATACCATGGTCAGTACTGTTCTTACTTGCCGCGCCGGCACAAAGACTGTCATGCCCCCCAAGTGTCGCGCTTTGTCACAACAACAACAACAACAACAACAACAGCAGCAGCAACAGCCACAGCTGCAGCCACCGCAACAGCAGCAGCAGCAGCGGCACCACCACCACCCAGCAACAACCACCGCAACAGAGACAGCAACAGTAACAGCAGCTAAAGCAGCAACAGCAACAGCAGCAGCGGCAGCAGCCACCACGACAGCAAAGGCAACAGCAGGAAAACCAGCAACACCTAACAGCAGCAGCAGCAGCAGCCGCCGCAGCAGCAGCAGCAGCAGCAGCAGAAGCAGAACAAGCAGCAACAGCAACAGCAGCCAAAGCAGCAACAGCTGCAGCAGCAGCAGCAGCAACACGTACAACAACAACACCAACACCAAATATCAGGACCACGAACAGTAAAGGCACTGGCACCAACAATAACAATCAGCTATACCAAGAATAACAGCAGCTAGCAGCTAGCAACGGCAGAAGCGACAGCAGTCAGAGCAGCACCGGCAGGAATTGCCGCAAGCAAAACAAATCAAAGCAGAGTTGACAGTAGCGGCCATGGCGATAACTGGAAATGTCATGACAGCAACAGAAAGAAGAACAAAACCAACGACAAAACATCAACAGTACGAACACCAGCAGAAGCAGCAGCAGCAGCAGCTGCAATGCTCTGCTAGCAGAGGCCTCAGCAGCTGCCGCTGCCACGGCTACACAAGAAGAGACAACAATCGCAGCATCAGCAGGATCCTAGATCCTTTACCTCACTGGATCATAGGGACCCTTAGGGGGGCTAAGTGGGAGGGAGGTAGGGGACTATACTTCCTTAGGTCCTTACTATGGGCACTAAGGCCCCCTAACTCCCCTCCCCTATGAATGGAGGCTCACATGCCTTGAGCGATGCAGATGAGGTTTTAAGCAAGAATATCAATCCAAAGCCGAGCAGCAACTCTAGAAGACACCACAGGCGCTGGTGGCGTGTCTCCGCAGTAAGTTCTTCGCCTCCCAACTCATATAACTTGCTCGTCTGGGGTAGATGTTGTCGACATTGACATTGGTGTTTGGGGGTAATGCCTACGACAATTCGAAGCTTGGAGGGCCTATTCCACTGGAATCGCACAGTCCAATTGCATGGTGCTGTTGACTCGTGGCGGCTGTGTGCCAAAACCCTAAACTCGAAACCACCACGCGACCAATAAGTATTGAGATTGTTCGAGAGCCAAGCGTTTGTGAGGTCCTCAAGACAACCTACGGTCAGACTTGCCGTCCCGTATTCTTCAGCGTCTGCAGCTAGTCAAGTCGCAGCGACAAAACCATCGACGTTAATTTAATATGAGCAGCAATGAGAAAGGGAGGGTGCGGCAGATGCTTGCGTTTGAAGGTGCAATTCGAGCGATTCTGGTGTTGCATGTGAAGCCGCGCAGATTGATCCCTGCAACAAGGGAGCCGAAAGCCGATGTGAGAAAGCAGTAGAGCATTGCAAGGATCCGCAAGGTACGAGCATCCTACTCTTCAAACAATCCAAACCCTCAGCTCTAAACGAGCAATTGGCAAGCCTCTTGACAGTTGTTGCACCGGCTTCGCTTTGACCGTCGGGGACCCTCGTCAGTCCAAAGACCGCCGTCCCCAATCATAACACTTACCTTAACCCCAAATAACCTACCTTTTTAGGGACTTATATGAAGAAATCCCAGGGGGCCTAAAAAGGTAGGTTCCTTAGGGTCCAGGTATACATGCGCTGCAGCACGGGTTTTGTTCTCATTCGGAATCGACCCTGAACTCCCGCAACTACAAGCACTTGAGGCTGCCATGCCCGATGGGCAATACAAGCGACAGGGGTCCTGATGAGTAGAATAGGGTTTGGGTGGTATATCCTAGCATAAACATGATCAAGATTGGTGAACAAGTTGGCCCCTATATTACGCATTGTTTGTTTCCTCAGGAATTTTCCACCCCATGTGAGCAGAACAGAGAGCATCGAATAGTACCAAATCCAAGCGACCCTCCTACCACGACGCCCGGCCTGAATCTACGTGCGTGCACGTCGGCGCTAGAGAAAGGAACGTTGTGCAAAAGGAGGCGTAGGCAAACATGGAGTTGATGGCACTCTGCTGCTGGACATTGTTCTCCTGTGGGATGCAGCAGTAGTCCTTGGCTCTGTTCTGAGTACAAGGCGCAGCTGTTGAGATCCAACAGATGGCCACTTCAACGGGTCCTTTCCGGGTGTACAGCCTCATGCAGGCTGCTGAAGCCCGCCTTTGCTGCATGTATGTATGCATGCATGCAGGCCTGCACCATTTTATGTGCACATCTGTATATATATATATATGCACACGCATATGCGTATACACGTATCCTTCTTTAGAGCGCGATGTACGTGTAAGGGCATAATCTACTGCACCGTGGGCTTTCAACATTAACATTAACATGGTCATGATGGTAGTGCACGTTTCTAATAGAACGGAATCTAACGTCTGCTCAGCCCAGCTTCCAGCCATATCCAATTGGCTCGGACACCCCGTCGTTGTAGCTCGCGCACAGCCTTCCCGATAGCTTCGTACTTCGTGCCATGGGGATCCTTGGTAGCTCTCCGTGCCCCTTCAAGAGACCACACAACAAAATGTTGGTTCAGTCTCTAGGTTTAGTGGAGTCAGCCAGGGATCAGGATGACTGTATCCAGCCCACTGGTGGCTGATGAAGACCACTCCATCCAGCCTGCGACGGCTTGCGACAACAGCAACCGAAGTGAGTCCAACAAACAAGGACATGCGCAATGTAAGGCATGCGGATCCGTTTCAAGGCCTGCGGTATGGTGGCAAAGCTTTAAACTTTAAACTTTACGACTTCACACTTCGGGAGTGAACACAGCTTCTGAAAGAAGAAGCAGAGAAGTGGCTCCGCTTGGAGTGACAGGGCACTGTCACTGCAAAGTGACAGGCAGGCTTCCGATGACCAGGCCGGCTACACGGGATCAAAGTGCAATCTTCGAACTAAAGATGATCACAGGACCTTCCGAATCCAAGAACACCCGCACCACCAACGCTGTCCTATCGATTGAGGATTGGACCGCACGGAGAACCAACACAGTCCGGGTGAGCCGACCGGGGTGTTGGTTGATGTTTGATATTATCATATACTATTATATGTTATTATAAACATATATATATATATATATGTCTGATTATTATTACTATCATTATTTTTTTTGTATATTTTATGGTCTCATGGCTGAGAAAGGTGCTGAACTGGCGGTGCCTACTGGGAACCACCACAGAACACACATGGGCTCAACCCAAGGCTATTCAATGCGAATAGAAGTCATGACACGAATGATGGAAGGAAGTTGTGAGACGCTAGAACCAGAGCTTTGGCCCCTGAAACCCAAACCTCTGAAGCCACAAAGCCGGAAGAGCCAAAATCTGACACCCTACCACCGACCCTAAACCCTAAACCCTAAACCTTGAAACCCTGAAAGCCTGCAGAACTCAACAGCCGCTTGGGCTGTGTCGATGCTGTGGAGCAGGCCACGGTCCCGGACAGTCTCGTGCCGCAGGATCATGCCAAACCTCGGCTTGGTTTTTTTTTGGGGGCTTTAAGGGCCCTTTTTCCGGCTTGGGGTTTAGGGTTTAGGGTTCTTTATTTTTAGACGACCCTTTTCCATCTGCCTGAGGGTTTAGGGTTCAGAGTTTAGGGGAGAGCAGCAGTCGTACTACAGGTAATACAATGATGACAGCAATGCCATCAACCGTAGTAGCAGCAAGAAGTAGTCACTTCAGCAATGAGTTCCAATGCTTCTGACGATGGTGATACTGGTAGTAATAATAAACCTGATCATAATGGTCGTAATTGCAAGCATCGGGCATGAAAAAAGATGGCAGTCAAGCTACTAGCATGCATTAGACACTAGTCGTAGCAGTAGAAGCAGTAGTACTAGCCGTCGTCATCATCGTAGTCGTGGTGGTCGTCGCCGTCGAAGTAGCGATGATACTAGTAGTAGAAGAAGTAGTAGTAGTAGTAGCCAGAAGTAGTAGTAGCCAGAAGTAGTAGTAGTAGTAGTAGCAGCAGCAGCAGCAGCAGTCGCAGCAGCAGCAGTCGCAGCAGCAGCAGCCGGAGGATGAGGGAAGAGTAGTGGTGGTACTGGGAGCAGTAGTAGCAGTAGTCGTCGTCGTCGTCGTCGTGGTGGTTATAGTGGCCGTGGTGGTGGCGGTGGTGGTTGTACTTGTTGTCGTCATAGAATCAGAAGTACAGCAGCAAACGTCATAGTCGTCGTCGTCGTAGTAGTAGTAGTAGCAGTAGTAGTAGTAGCAGTAGCAGTAGTAGTAGTAGTACTACTACTACTACTACTACTACTACTACTACTACTACTGCTACTGCTACTACTACTACTGCTACTACTACTACTACTACTACTACTACTACTACTACTACTGGAAGTAGGAGTAGAAAAGGCAGTGGCAGCAATGGTAGTGGTAGTGGCAGTGGTACAATAGTAGTAGTGGTGGTCATCCTCGTCGTTGCCACAGCCGCAGTAGGAGGTGGAGGAATTCCTGGTGGCCTCTTCTTCTATTGAGACAAAGTCGAGTCTGCCGGATCTCAGAACGATTGGTGGGGTTATGAGTTATGTACCAAGCCTTCGCGATTTTGAGTGGGAGCTTCATGTGCAGCATGGTGTTTAGGTAGAACCGTGACTTATAAGAATTACCATGCAAGGTTCCGGCTCCGGTGAGATACACGGTCCTGGAGGATGGAGTTGAAAGGTAATGTAGGGGCCTTAATTAATTAACATAGGGTTTTGGGGCCCACTATACTATATTCATACTACGGAACCTGCAAAATAGTGCTCGTACTTATTTAGGCCCCTATAGTATGTCTGTTCAAGGTTCGGCTGCCTGGAGTCTGTTCGCTCGCAGCATCCCCAAAAATGGACATGTCAAGCTGTGGATGGGCAGCAATGGTCTCTGGTACGCCATATGTCCTGACAATGTGCAGCTCGGAGACCTGCAACCCTTCAAGGAAGTCCCAAGACACAAACTTCGGGTGTCAGAAAAGCCAACACCCTTCGAACTGCAAGCTTCCAAGCCACGGGCATATTATACTCATGTCTAGTAGTTTTACTGTCATTATTGTAACTTTTTTTACTATTGTTATGATTGATACTATTCTGGACTCTAGGAGCCATACACAAGTTACGCAGGAAATTCCACTGCACGCGGCCGAGAAGCTTCTCGAAGTCTTCGATACACACCACACAGAACGGGAACTGAACCACCTGAGCGCATTACGGTTTAGGGTTTAAGGGTAAGGGGTTTAGGGAATTACTCTAATTAGCGTGTTGTTGGCGGGGTTTAGGGCTTAGGGCTTTGAGGCTTACTGTAGGGGCCTAAACAATTACCAATACTATTTTGGGGTTCCTTATTATATTTGTAGCATAATGGGGGATAAGTAGTCATAAACCCTGAACCCTAAACCCTAAACCACGAAGAATGGGAAGGGAACCACCTGAGCAAAGTGGTGGTTAGAGAAGGTGTCTGAGCGTAGTATTGGCGAGGGAATAAGTAGTCATTATAGTCCCTATGCAATACTATGCCACTATAACACTTGGTTAGTGTGTCACTATCTTGCCGCACGATATACCGTATATGCTTCAATGTCAACAGCACGGCACAGTAGTAGTTCTGGACGCCAATTGAAGATAGACTTTGTCGTGTTCGTCCACAGGCGATGATTGTGCGACCAAGGATTGGTCGATGCCGTTGTCGTTTCTCTCACCCATGAAACGTTCACGTGAAGAGAAACTTGCAAGCGCATTCGGTGCTTACATGCCCAGACTGAAGTAACCCAACACAAATTCTACAGGAATTGGCTTCCCGGGCATGGCCACTTTTTGTACGTGGCTTCAAGCTAAACCCCGAAATCACGGCCAAGAATTTCACCCTAAACCCTAAACCCCAAATCCTAAACCCTAAACTCAAGGCCAGGCCGCCCACCTCCGTGGGTGGGCGGCGCTTAAGCCCCTCGACCTCGATGGCGCAGAGCGACCCAATACGCTTGCCCGCCTTTCCACAGCCATGGGGACGGTAGCACCCACGATGGGCCCGGTACTGGAGCTGGTCCCTATTTGCGTCAGGCTTCTCACAAGCTCTGGTTGGTGTGAAACTTGCTCACGGCGAGTTGGACCACACAAGTGGTCGTTCTTCTTGGCCACAGCTTCTTCTTGTTGTCTTGACCACACACAAAGTAAATACCCCTTAACCATGCAACCGCTGGCCATTTGGGCCCCCCTCGAAAAAGGGACCCCCCAGGGGGCGCTTGGGGTCTGCAGCGAGCAGAGTTCAAGGACTTGGGGGCTTCCAGGCCGGTCCTACAGGGAGACCTGGACAATACTCGCAAAAGCCCCTTTTTAGCCGCCCATGCCCCCCAGGCCGCCTTTGGCCCCCCTGGCCCCCCTGGCCCCCCCTGGCCCCCCCTGGCCGCCCCTTGACCCCCGCTTGCCTGTCCCCCCTAGCCTCCATTGGCCCCCCTCGCCCCCCTGGCCCTCGAAGCTTGGCTGCAGAATTGTGTGGTTGTTGTAAACCAACATGGACCAGACTAAACCCCCTAAAAAGTATAGGTTTGGGTGGTTTGCCGCCTCAGACGGCATGGGGTGGGTGAGTTATGTGATGGCCCGCCACAGTCGGGCCATGGCTGCGATTCGCAGGCAACAAAACCGCAAATAAATCCTACAATCCCTGTTACACTACCGCTACGCAATCTGGCAGCAAACCCTAAACCCTAAATCCTAAACCCTAAACCCTAAATCCTAAACCCTAAGCCCTGAACCCTAAACCCTAAACCCTAAGCCCTGAACCCTAAACCCTATACCCTAAGCCCTGAATGATGCGCCGCTCAGCCAAGCCACATGCAGATTTGAGATGGCAGATTGGATAATCCTTGGCGGACTTCTGAAACCCCTCCTAAGAGTTCAACTTTTAGCAGTTCCTTTTTGGGAGTTCCCTATAGGATTCTATATAGGAACCCCAAAAAGGAACTCCTTATTATAGTTCATATAGAAACCCAAAAAGTTAAAGTCTAAAGAGTCAACCAGAAGAACGCCAAGTATCCTTGCCCTGACTTCGCTCATGTACATTTTCCAGACTTCCTGCTGCGAGTGCTTCCGCAACGCCAGAATCACCTGACAAGCGCGAGTAGGTACAGTAGGGACATAATAATTATTAGAATAGGGCTTTGGGAAAAGTATACCATTATGATAAGAAGGAACCTCCCAAATGCTAGTTATTTAGGCCCCTATAGTTAGTACGTACAGTAGGGGCCCATCGTGTGGTTCCTTGTCCGCCAAAACACGATCTGTATGCCTACACGTTTCCTGAGACCCCCACTATTGCTGGATCTGTGGAGTTCGGCTGTAGGGATTATATAAGGGTTAGGGCTTTGCGTTGAGGATTCTTACGAGCGGTTTCAGTCTCGAAATCCTATACCCTCAACGCCAAAACGCTAAATCCTGTAGATGGTGTTCGGATTTGAGGGTTTGGGGCTGTGTGCCAAAGCATCGCGCCAAGAAGGGACAATTACGAGCCGCTCCACATCGGGTTTTGCTAAATACCGGGCCCGTAATAATCAGAGTAGGGTTTTGGGGTACGTTCTGGTTCAGCGATAAGGAACCCTGAGGAAAAGTCTTTCTCACCATGCAAGCTGCACTAGCTTAACCCAAAGTGTGAAGTCTGGTCCCAATCTGTTTTGAGGCGCAGCTCTGGCTCAGGGTTGACGGTTTAGGAGTCAGTCGGATTCCTGGTCGTCTGTTAGAGTGTGTGCTCCGACCGAGAGTAGTTCTTTGAGGTCTGGGGGACATTCTCTCGAAAGACAATCGTGATCAGGGAGCTGCTAGCTTAGTGTGGATCGCCCTGTCTCGCAGCAAGTCACATCCATGCCCAGACAAACGCCGATCAGGGCCGAGAGGGGCAGCAAAAGCAGCACGTACGTGATGTTGGGATCGACTTCCTCACAGGGCCAGACCTAAAAACAAGGCGGACGAAAATAGACCACTCCTGCAACTATATAAGCAGACTCAAGGCAACGCTCAGTCAAAAAATAAATACAGCCGTAGTAATAAGACTATAGGGTTTGGGGGTGTGATTACAATACACTTATACAAATACGCATGCTCTAGCCATGGCCAGCCAACCGTCCCTGAACCGAGACTACTCTAGCTACCGTCGCAGCTGGAGTTTCTCGGCATAGCTCCTTTTGCTGGTGCTGGCGGTGGCGCCGCCGCTGCTGCTGCTGATGATGATGCTATCAATGAGACTGAGTAATGAGCGACAGACACGGATGATGCTGCTGATGATGACGATGATGATGCTTGTTTGTGATGAAGATGACAGTGACGACGACGATGATGGTGATAACTGTGATGATGATTAACTGATGATGATAAAGATGACGATGATGGTGATGAGTGTGGTGGCGATGGAAAAGCTGCTTAATCACATGGTGATGGTGTTGGTGGTGATGATGATGGCGGTGGTGATGACGGCGGTGATGATGATAACTATGAAGATGATGATGACGAGAAGAGGATGAGGATGATGTGATGCTGCTGCTGAGGATGATGGTGAGGATGATGATGCTGAAAGCAAGGATGATGGCTGTGAACAAACAACAATATGACTAAATTAAATACATGGCGATGGGGGTGGTGCTCATGATGGTGTAGCGGTGGAGGACGGCTGGGGGTAAGGACTCCATCCCTCCACCCCTGGAGACTTCCGCCTAAAAGACCTCATGCCTCAACCCCCAGCCGCATGCCTTGGTTTTCCGATCTTGAGCCCCCTCAACCCTTATGGCACCCGTACCGGAACGCCCAAAACAACACTTCAAGCGACCTTTGAAACCGACCTTTAAAGCAACCACGGCCTCCCAGCCATCCACGGGAGCCAACTCCAGTTTCCAGTGGAGCGAGAGCTCCGAAACTTCGATGAAGCTGGATTCCGGCTCCTCTCAGCTTGTTTAGGGTTTAGGGTTTAGGGTTGAGGTTTTCGGAATTTTTTTTTGGGGGGGGTGTGGATGGGTTTGGGGTTCGAGGTGTTTCAGAAGCTTAAGGTTTAGGGAAGCTTATGGCAAACCCCTAAACCCCAAAACCCCTAAACCCTAAACCCCTAAACCCTAAATCCCTAAACCCTCAACCCCAAAACCCCAAAACCCCTAGACCCCTAAATCCCTGAAACCCTAAACTGATGGCGGCAGGTGGCCGCATCCAGGCTGCTGTTGGAACGCGGCCATCGCTCCAAGGCCTCGCTGTCGGCTGTCATCGTTGCGCTGGACCTTGAGAAAAATTATCTTAAAGGGAACTCCAGAAAGTTGGAATATGGTTTCAGGGTAGGATACCCTATAATTTACCATAGAAAGGCTAGGATATTCATATTCCAACTTTCTGGCTTTTACCTTATATGGGTGGTTGGCAAAATTATGGCCCCTTTTTGGGGTACCCTAAATGATAGGTGCCGTATTATAATAGTGAGCCAAAAAGGGACCCTAATTTTGACAACCACCCATATGTGTCTGTATGATAAAATAATATGCTATAATATCAGGGCCTTAATAATTACCTATGCTATTTTGGGGTTCATTATTGTAGTTATATATATACACACCAAAACCCTATGAACGGTATTGAGATTGCACAGTGTTGTCCTGATGTCGTCTTTTCGTGAGCACTGCCAGCTTTGTTCTTATCTGTTTTAGCACAGTCAGCGAATGAATCTATCTCCATGCTACTGCTTCGTGATGCTCACAGTCTTGAGGCTAATCAAGTGGTAGCCCGCTGTGCAGTTTCCTCCAAGACTATCTATCTATCTATCCCATGTCTGTTCCAATCCAAGCACGAGCAAATCTGCGTGTTGCAGACATTGAAATACCTGCTGGACAGCTATGTGATGAGTCAGCCAAAAGAAATGCATGCTTCATGATGACATTTCAGAGTCCGTCGCATACAAATACAAGCCAAGAGCATGTGCACCTCCAGGAAACCTATGGTTGCCACTTAGATATTTACGAGCCTGGGTGCCGCTGACTAACTTAGCATTCCCAGCGGCAGTTGGTACGAGAACTTCGTGAAGCCTCCAACCCGATGTAGGCCCGTCTCCTGGGTGTGACTGCCAGAAAATGCTTCCTTCAGGCTTCGTATTGCCAGCGCTGCTGATCGTGCAAAATCCATCGAACTATTTCGATGAAGGCACAGCAAGCACACAGCAGATTAGTTCGAAGGAGCCGTCGCCTGAGCAGGCTTTGTAAAGGAGAAAAGAGTAGTCGACTCGTCGTCGTCCTAGTAGTCAACCAGTGCTAGTTTCTTATACAGGTCACCACGGTTCGAGCAAGGTTCGTTTGTCGGCATCTCCCGTTTTCACATGCGTGATGCACTCAAACCGAGCCCATCTCCGGACCCCGCCCCCTGCACAAGTGGTAGCCCCGAGCCCGAAGGGACAAACCTCACCTCGCCGAGCTGCCAAAGACTCAAGGTCGATAGTCCTGGGATACGGCGTCGGTGCTATTTCGGCTGGGGAGAAGCAAGAATGCTGGGTCCTTTATACTATCTATAAACATGTACACCGCCAAGACGCCGATGTAAGAAATGGATGGCAGAACTTGGCCCTTTAAAGCTTCTGAAAAATATTCGTAAATAGGGTCCTATTAAGCCCAATAAGAGAAATATAAAATGTCCCAAAGTCCTACCTAGATGGCAGAATTTGGCACCGTAGTGCTCAAGGCGGCAGACGTTCTTGAACAAGCACATGCAGGCTTACACGGCGCTTTACGGAACGCCCAGATTGGGTCCTCTTGGAGCATTGATCTGGCTTTGTCCTATCTGGGGTATGTGTGTACACACACATATATATATATATACATATACACCCACATGCATAAGAATACGTACAGTAGATGTGTATGTACGAACTATAGTATGCACACATAAAGATAGATACGTGTTTACGGGTATACTTACCTCCCGACCTCCCTGAATACCTACCTGCCTGGTTGGCTGCCTGCCTGCCTCAGCATGTTATCTACACCGCCGCGCCTGCGGCGTGGTGCCTGTGCGTTCCTAGTCTCTCGGATGCCTCGTCGCCCTCACACCCTGTGGGGTTGTGGCCGTGGTGTTTGCGGTCGGTGCTTGCTCCAGCAATCTCCAGCATGAGGCCAGGTTGTAATAACAGACTCGCTAAACCTTCAGCCCTCAACCCAAGAAGCCTAAATCCTAAACCTTCAACCGTGGCGGTCCTCAGCAAATCCTCGAAACTCACGGACATGACGGCGAAACCTCGGCTGCAAACTTTGCAGACAGGTCGTGGGCCGGAGTGTTTGGTTCAGGGCTTAGGGTTTAACTAGGCTGAAGGGGTGGGGAATTTGGGTAAATGTTTGATTCGGGGCTTCATGGGTCTTGGGATGCCCAGGCTGTAAGAGGAAGCCTTTTTTACATGAGCAGGTTTGCGCGCACGGCTTTGCCGTATTTTCGACATGCGAATATGCTTCTAGTACTACTGTGGGCATGGTGCATCACGTAAAGATGTTGCACTTAGCAGAAAGCTTCTTTGTCAAGAGTATCACGGCAACGCTGGGTAAGTTTCAGAGGACGTGCTATTCTGGGACAACGACCATGACGGTTTGATTGATTAACTCACTGGCAGCCAATAGCACGCATCCCTTCTGGCTGCGTGTCATAAGAGGATGCTGGTGGTGAGGCTCGCAATCAGGATGTCCATGATGGTGATGATGATGCTGCTCTTCCGGGTGGCTGTATCCGGTGGCTTGGTTTTGCGAATGACTTAATGGTGCAGCTGCGCCTGCTTTTGGCAGCATCAGCGTGGTGTCATGGACTTGGAAATGGAAGTACTCCCTTCTCTGTGCAGGAGGTTGCAAAAACATACCAGTACATGTAGGTAGCACGATCCCCACAGAAACACACCAAAGAACCAAGGCAGAATGAATCCGAAGTCCTAACTTCCAAAATGCATTCGGTATCGGAAATGTCGATTAAAAGACTGTGGTGCCGGGAAGCCCCAAAAGTGGGTCGCTTTTCCATGCACATCCGGCGGACCAGGAAAATAGCCTCGGTATTTAGCCATTGCTCCGTGCTCTAGCCCCCCAAATGGGTTTAGGGGTGTAGGGTTTAGGGTTTCCGGGTTTAGGACAATCTCCAATCCCTATCCTGAAACCCTACGACATCCTATAACCCTAAAGCCCAAACTGCCTGGATCCTAAAACCCCAAACCCTGAAGACGTACTGGCAAACCCTGAACCCTGAAGCCCCTAACCCTCACCATCAGACCCCCGAGCCTCAATTTAGCAATGATTTCATGCCGTTGGGTGGGACTCTGCACGCGCTACCCAAGGTGTTCGCTTTCCTACTTCAGGCACCGACTCACATCCTACCCGGAACCTACCCTCAACCCAAAACCCGCCGAGCAACAGTTGGGAAGCTCGGCAGGATAATCCGTACCAGAGCACTGCCTGGCCAAAGAAAGACTGCTTTCGCAGTACTGGGATTTCCGGCTTGTTTTGCACTGAATCCAAAAGCTTAATTATATGATCCTACTGTGCATAAGGTAGCGGATAGAGATCCCAGCACCAATCATCCTGCATCTATCTACACCCTGAACGCTGTGGTTTGGGGTCCAAGGCTTTTGCTCTACTCTACCGTAGTTTCTGTTCCTGTAGCGCCTTTGGAACCGTACTAGCAACGGGATGTTTGAATAGCCCCTTGGAGTTCTGTTTCATTCCGAAAACAACTCCTAAGCCCTAAACCCTAAACACTAAACCCAAAACCCCTAAACCCACTAAGAACACTGAAGGATTACAACTTTGTGACGTTTGCTGATGAGCGTGTTCGGCATCGAGCCTTGAAGCAGACCCGGTCCCTTTCAAGATATTAGGTGAGTAGGGTTTAGGGTTTGGGTTTAAAGGGGTTTAAGGCTTCTGGATTTAGGGCTTAGGTTTTGGGGTTTAGTGGTTTAGGGCCTTTTACCATGTGACCGTTTAGGGCTTCGGGCTTTGGCCGTAGATGTGGGATTGAGGGGATTCAGGGATGGTGGATCTTTCGGGGTCTGCATGGAGGGTCGGGGGACTTAGTAAGGGCTCCTTTAAAGGGGATTCTAAGGGTTCCTTTAAAGGGCTCTATAAGGGTAGTATGGGGTTTAGGGTTTAGGGTTCAGGGACTTAGTAAGTAGGTAGTAAGTAGACGTATAAGTACCCTAAAAGGGACCCTAAGTGGGGTTATGGTACTTATAAGCCCCTAAAATACCCAGTTACTAAGTCCCCCGACCCTCCAAGTGGGAGATGGCGATTCAGGCTGTCAGGGCACAGGTCTTAGGTGTTCGGTGGCTTTTACTGGTGGGGCGTGCTTTCAGGCTTGCGGCTTTGCAAGGGGCGGAGATTAGCAAGTCCCCTTGTTGATGTACGAGTTTCTGAACTACCTCGAGTGCGCTAAAACTACGGGAATTGCAGTAGATTGAACTACATGGGGGCATACGGGAATTCCAGTACATTGAAGGAGTTCAGGGTTCGTTTAGGGGAGGCTGATGATCATGAACTTCCAGGAGGGTCTCCTCCACCTAAGCCATGTTGGGCCCCCTTTGTCCGAACTGAACTACCCAGAGGCCCCATACCAGTAGTAGTTCCTGTTCGGGATTACCTTATAGGATTCTATATATGAACCCCAAAAAAGGAACTACTTTGGGGCCTTTGGGTAAACCATAAAAGCTAACCTGTAGGCCCAGTCTGCCAAAGTCGGGGGCGCCTCGAGAAGTTTTGGCCAAAAAACATCATCCAGCTGTCCGGCATATACCTTACCGCTGTTTAGTAGGGAATGGAGGAATGGGGTATAATTATAACTACTATTACTACCATAACCCTAAACCCTAAACCCTAAACCTAACCAACGGTAAGATACACCGGCGCATAGGACGTGAAGATCGGTCTCCTCGCAACGAAATCCTCAGTAAGGGGAGTGGGGGCCGACTGAGGGTTTATATAGGGTTTACCTTAACCCCAAAGAACCTACCTTTTTAAGGACTTCTATAAGGAAATCATAGCAAGGAGCCCCAAAAAGGCAGGATCTTTGGGGTTAAGGTAGGGCAAGTTGAGGGTTTTAGGGTCGGGCTTTCGGCTTTGGGGAGGATTTAGGAATTGCGGCTTTGGTTTCAAGCTTCCGGAACCCCTTTATACACCTTGGAACGCAGGCCTCCGACCCAAAAGCCGGACTCTAGTTCTTTAGGGTTTAGGGTTGAGGGCCCTAAACCCTAAACCCCTAAACCCTAAACCCTAAAGTCCAAATCCAGATCAGCCTCACTCTAAACACCGCGCCCTGGAGCCGTGAAGCCTTAACCCCTAAACACGAGGAAGCGGAGAAAACCTGCTTTACCCGGAGGCTGCATAGTAGTTCCTTTTTGGGATTACGTTATAGGATTCTATATATGAACCCCCAAAAGGAGCTACCTTGGGGCCTTTGGGTATTCTTCAAAGCGAGGCACTGGTCGATCCTCAAATGGGAAGTCGGGACGTTGCCCCGGGCTTGCGCCAGGAGGAGGTCCGGGGGCACCCCCGGTTGTATCGACAATGTCGTCGATGTACGTCGTCTCAACAGCGGCTTTCATGGTGGGTTTGGGGCTGAGGCTTAGGGTTTTTAAGGGCGTTTGCTATTCTCATTGCAATAAGGTTTACACTTTTTTTGGGTGTGGGGAGGAGAACTAGGGGGTTTGCATGACCACAACAGGTGCATGCAAGCTTTATGGGGCATTCCGCAGTCGCAACTAGAGCCGTAATCCCGGCCAATGCACCGGTGCTGCGGGCAGCAGGGAACAACTGGAAAAGGAAACAGAAATACAAATACGAAACATGCTACGGTCCTGCGAGACCACAGATGCAAATGGGACCAACTACAAGGAATAAGACAGCGATACCACGTGTACACCGCCAAATGTTAAAGTCCTTGAACCCTAAACCTTGAATCATATGGGAGTTTTGCCTGGAGCAGTTTCTTCCAGAGAGCACCTCCCGAATAAAGGCATCGCAAACCGAATACAGGCAGTCATCGCAAACCACGTTTCAGTGCTTCTCAGGACACTTCTAGAACTCGTCCCGCAAACACCGAACAGCCCCCCAACCCAAAACCTAAACTCTACATCCCCAACCCTGAACCCTAAACCCGGAACCCAGATTCTACAGATGTTTTGCACAAGGCTCCCTGGCAAGGATAGCTTCAATCGCTCGAGGCCCCCTTTGGGGATGTAGGAGGAGATCCTCCCCTTCCACCTCGGTCGATTCGCGTTTAAATGTGTTTTCTTAGGGTTTAGGGTTTAGGGTGTAATACAGGGGCCTGAATAATTAGAATATGGTTTTGGGGTATATAATACTGGAACTATGAAAGACCCCCCAAAATAGTCTAGGTAATTATTAAGGCCCCTATATTAGGGTTTAGGAGGCTGTTCAAGGAGTTTGCCTCGGGGGTGTTATGGACGGATCGGGTATGGGCTGCCGGAATATGCGATTCAGATCTTTACACTTACTCTGAAACTCTAGCCAATCTCATGCAGTCGGGCCGTATGCACAGTGCATTTACAGAATAGCACGGAGGTTGCGACTCACACATCCAACTGACCTACGTCACACCGTACACATTTCTTAACTCCGCATCTGGCATCTCATGTTGAAGCCAGGTCCACCGTGGAAAAGCTGGTTCTCCTTATGCTACACCCATGAACCCACCCTGAACCCGAAACCCAAAATCCCAACATCGGAATGGGACTTCCCACAGAGTTGAACACCACCGAAGCTGCGCTTTCTCTTGAGGGAGCAGCGATGTCCGAGGCTATTCCCTCTAAGCATATCCCTTAAACCCTAAACCCTGAACCCCAAGACCCGGGATCCTACTCTCACTCCTCAGCCCCAGCCCCAACGAGAAGATCTTCTCATGGCAGCCTTGAGCATGTGCCGAGCCACCGCAGCAAACTTGTCAGGCGGATATGTTTTCCTCAGTATGATGACAACTACAGGGGCCGTGAGAGGGCTTTCAAAACGGTCCTTCATATCATGTGATTCATCTAGTGAACCTAATTCTTGTTGGTATGCTCTCATGGTGCATGTTGATACGATATGTATAGTGTCAGTACGGCCGTACTTGTTCACTTGCCGTTACAGTCGCCACGCTGGTTGATAGTACGTTCATGCCTCGCAGGGCTATATGTAGGCTGCTTGGCGACTGGTATGTTCTGACAGGTTATAGCAAGCGAATCTCTCGGACTGCTGATCGTGGCGGCGGCTAACAAGCACGCAACACCACGAATCATTGGTCAGGGGGGAACAGACATAATATATCATAATATCACAGAAGTAATGTTCAATGCTCGGGCACACATCCTTTCATCACAACTACAGCTGCTGCTGTGAAGTATTGTGCCACGAGTATATCGGCAGTCGACCACTCGAACGTCATGTGAGTATACATCGCTACATATGTATTTATTCACGCCTACTTTTGCAGAACTACTGTGGGCACTTGTATGATGACTACCTTACGCGGTTTTGCATGAATGACGAAGTGGACAAATCACATGAACAGAGAAAACACCTAGTTATGGCTGACACTTCGTGGAAACGAGGACACCCATCGTAACAACAGCGATGTGTAACCTAGCGCTCCCCCCACTGCACGATCCCTGAGCACTGAGGCGGCGTCGTCAGGCACGCATGAGGCGCAAGCCCCAAAGCAGATATGCCCATAATCGATCCGATCAGTGATTGGGCAAGCTCGTCGAAGTGCTTGTCAGTCATTCCCGCATCATCAATCTTTATGGCAGCCTCATAGTTCCGGCTGAAGTGAAGCAGGGCTCGCGTCACGTTACAGTCGTGCTTCCGGGTTAGCATCGGCGACCGAAAGAGTCTAGGATGTTTCCGAGCTTTGTTCAACTGTTCAACTCTACAGTCGCTTCTCAGCCCCCAGCATCTTTTGACTAAGTCTTCTCGCCGCACCTCGGCGGATCCAAGCCAAGCTACCTCCAAGGCTTCGAGAGACCGGGTCGACATCCGAATTTGCCGCGAAATTTCCTGCTACAGTTTAGGGTGCAAGTTTTGCTTTTGGTTGAAGGCTTCTTTCCTCCCTGCCACAGGGTTTTAATTCATGTTTGGGCTTTCAGGACTTTTGGGTCTCTTTAGCAGCCAGCCAAGTAGTTGGGATATCTCCGAGTTTTCTGAGGTTTAAAGCCCCGGGGGGTTGATGCACTTCCAGGGTTCCAGACCCAGAACAACTGGGTTGGCCTTTAAACACCCTGAAAAATATTTATATATAGGGTCCATTATAAACCCAAATAAGGAAAATAAAAAATGTCCCAAAATCCAACCTAGACAAACCTTGAGGTCTTAGGAGAACGCAGGTTTGCAAGAATGCCTGTGCCGGAAGCAACTCTAGATCATATCTCCGGTGAGTTGCTTCAATATGCTTATCGGTACTACAGCACCCCGTTCATCACAAGCGAACAAACGGAACATATCAGCAGCTCAACATGCCACTCATGAGCCCACAGTGAAGTGCATGTCAAGTGTCTGCATGTCTGCATGTTTGGCTTGCGCTCCAACCCTATAACCAAACTGTAAACACCAAATCCTAAAGGCCCTAAACCTTAAGGCCAAACCCCAGAGACACCCTTAACCCTACACCCTTGCCTCCGCGTACCTCTCTGCAAGACTCCGCACGGAGGCGCGCAGCTCTTCCCGGGAGTCGAGCTGAGACCGGTGGAAGTTGTAGAGACCTCAGCTGAAGAACTTATCTAGGTGGGGCTTTTGAAGCTTTTGAAAAATGTTAGTAAAAAAGATCCTCTTAGACCCAATATGGGAAAATATAAATGTCCCAAAGCCCTACCTTGTTATGGGCCTTACGGGGGTTTCGGTGTTAGGGCTTTAGGGGTTCGTAGGGCATAGGGTTTCGGCGTAGACTGGCAGAGCAGTGTTGCGTGCAGAATTCGCGTCATGATAGATCAATATTTGCATCATCTTCTCTTGACGAACACCACCCCCCAAACATACCTACCATTCGGTGTAGCACCGATGACCTGGCTATGATGAGAGTGGTGGTACGTGGGTCGACAGATGCATGCATGGACGCATTAGCAACATGCAGCGCGAAGGGAATAAAGTGCGAATGAACTGACAACGTCATGGATTGAATTGAGAGCTACCTAGACACAATATCATCACGCTCATCATTTCCGCAACTCTACAAGCAGGAGCATCGGCGATCTCATCATTGATGCATGCTAAAGTCTTGGAAAAAAGAGAGCTTCGTCTCTGAATGTAGTGGGTAGTTCTCTAAATCAGGGTCCTGCGACGGGTCATTTTTACGCTGGTGGCGCACTGTGGAAGTGCTCAACCGCAAGGTCCGCTTGATGAACACTCAGGTCTTGAAGTGCTATGACAATGGCGACCGTCTGGACAGGAGCGTATAGACCCTCAAGCCCTAATCCATGTTTCGGAACCCAAAGGTCCAGAGCGTGCCACCGAGAGCACTGGCACCAACCATGATGGCTATCAGGAAGATCGTCACCCAAAATCTCCTGTCAAACTCAGTTTATGCCTTGGAGTCTTTGTGTCATGTGGTTGCGACAATGCAGTCGGGCCATAAAGCAAGAAAGCTTGAGAGGTTTAGGACATCGCTCCTCCATCGCAGCCACACAGGCAATTCACACCTCCGCCGTGTGGCCGCAGATGATTTGGTGGCACCTGCACTCCAAGTGATACTTGTACTCATGCGACTGTGCAGCTGATTCTGAAATTGTTTCTCAATGCCCGGCAGCTGGTGATGATGTTGTTGATGTTGCCAATGCCCGGCAGCTGGTGATGATGTTGTTGATGTTGCCAAATGTTGGAGCTGGTCGTCTGGTAGATGCTGAGGAAGGAAGAGGTAAGGATCATACTGTTACTATTCGCACTCAGGCCTCTGTTTTTGGAAAATGTGGTGTTGCTGCAGACTGTGCTGCTGATGCTGTATTAGCTACTGCCGCTGTTCATGACTCTATTGTCGGGCTATGCGCCTCAGCCTTTAGACGCTTGATTCCAAGATGCCAATCCTCTCAGCACGCATGGAAAATCCAATTATCAGGGAACCCTTGACGGAACCCTATGAACTCCATTAAGGGAGCCCTACATTGGCGCACCCTCGTTCCCTAAACCCCTACTGCCCAGTGCTCCCGAGGCCCGCGCCAGACGACACCGCCGAAGCGGCACTTCTGCGGATGGACTGCTCCGAAGTTATCCTTGGACCTTGCCCAGGGGAGCTTCAGGCGTACTGCGGGGGATAGAAGTAGATCAGACAAGCCGAGTGCCTGGACTTGAAGTTCCGAGCCTACTGTTGACCCCCGGGTGCCTTGGGCAACCCCTCCCCACCCATCAGCCCCGCGACACCAAGTTCAAGCTAATGACAGTCCCAGACTGTGGACACCAAGCAATGGAGCGGTGCCCGCATTGATCAACCACCGGTCGTTCGTTAAAAGTGGGCGCATGCAATGCGCTCCCGAAAACAAATATGAAGGTATATATACATGTGCTGTATATATACACACATATTCACACATTTCGATTTCAAACTCGCCACCAGCAAAGGTGTACCTATGCTTCGGCGTGGAGTTGGAACGTGAGTTTCAGTCAAGGAGGGCCAGGCACAAACTGCGAAGTATTAGTATCATTAGTACTAGTAGTATTGTTAGCTATTATTAGTAGTATTAGTATCCATACTATGAAGAATCTAGTTAAGAGCCTTGATAATCCTGAGGACCCCTCTGAAGGATTGCTCTTGGGTTCTGTTTTGTCGGTAGCGCATAGCTTACATACTGCTTAGCCTGCTAGCAGCCACCAGACCAAATTATGTTCTGTGTCTGCAAACTGCGAAGTGCTTCTGACTGCTTGTCCAAGCGACTTCTGACAAAGTCTTCGCCCCATGAGGAGATCGCGTTGCTGTTCAGCGCATGAGTCAAATACAGCTCGTGCAAATGAGCGTCCTTGTCCATTGCATCCTAAAGCTATGGAGGTCAGCGTTTGAGCCGCAGAAACCCAAGAAAGTTAATGTAGGGGCCTTAATAATTAGCACAGAATTTTTGGGGGCCCATTATACTATAAGTCTAATCAGGAAACCCCCCAAAATAATATAGGTAAAATATGAAGCCTCTATAGTATGGTATGGGGCAACAGTTGCTTCACTGAAAGACAATGCCCCACCCTTGAACACAGAGGGATCCCCAGTCCCAGCATTGCACCTCCAGTACTTGGGGGCTCATGGGTATTATAAGAGGGGTTATAGGTCCCCTTATATGGGTTATAGCTATAATTATCCTACTTATAACCCACTCATAATTACCCATGAACCTGCAAGTGAGCCTCGCGTGGCTCCGGAATACCAAAGCTTGTAACCCTGTATAGTAGAAGCCATTCTCCTCATGACCTTAAGGCAAAGTATAAGGGATCCTAGCACGAATCCTCCTAAACCCATGCTCCAACTTTCTGGGGTTCACTGTTTATCTTCAACCCACCTTTAAGCTGACAGCCCAAAGCCAGGGCCAGGGTCGCCAGCTCCAGGCTGGTGCGCGTTAAGGTACAGGGTTAGCGACTACTGGTCAAGGGCTTAGGGATTACTGCTGGGTTTAGGGCTTAGGGTTTAGGTCTAGGGTTTAGAGTTTAGGGTGTAGATGAAATCATCGGGTTTAGAACATGGCCATGAAAAGCAATGCCCCTGCGTTGTTATGCTCCTACAAACTTTTCACGTTATTTAACATCTCCACCTTCAGGTTCTGAGATCCCTGCAGAAAAGGCTGACCTTTGAAGTTATGGTCGGATATGATGGGATTAACTATAGGGGCCTTAATGACAATCTATACTGTTTTGAGGGCTCCCTATTCTAACTATCAAGGCCCCTATATTACTCAGCTACTGATGCTAGTCAGCTGCTAGTAAGGCTTTGTATCCCTACGGTTATCATCACCGCCCTCAGCAGCACCATCATCATGACGATGACGAAGGTTAGGGTTCAAGAACTTTGTGGGCATAGTGACTATTCCAGTACCAGCTGGACGGCCAGACCAACTTGAAGTGCATACAATCGCACAGCGAACCCAACACCGCGAGTGGATAGACACCGTACTAATATGTGCATCTATATCTATATCTATATCTATATCTATCTTTCTGTCTATGAACATTATATATATATGTGTGTATATATATATACATATGTAAAGACAAATAGAGATATTCGTGCATGTATGTACGAATTTCATTACTATCACTGACACTCTATGATCTGTGATCAGCAAGTGGGAACGTCGCTCCAACACCCAAGCGAGTTCAGGGTAGCTTTGCAGGCCTGTGACAGCACCGTTGCTGATCGCCCACTCTTCTTCGGCCTCAAGTTCTCCTTGTCCTGAAACGAAGGCTAAGGCGGCTAAGGGTATCTTGGCGGTGGGATGTTGCTAAAGAAGGCTTTTCCGGCTTCTTCGAAACATGTCATAAAGCTTGCAGGAAGCGCGGCACATGTTGATGATCAGGTGCGCGTACATGATCGGGTGCGCATGGGGAACTTTAGTGGACCTCCAACCCTACTCCAATTATTAAGGGCCCCTAATGCCAGCCCTTGGTACAAAGGCTGTCGAGGATTCGCAGTCCAGGTTGCAGCGTGTGAACAGGTTCGAGTGAACGGGAATCATAACATAATGCTGCGAGAGGGCTGTAGCAAACGAAGAGGCTTAATTCAACCCTAAGAAGCCCTAGCTTTGGGCCATTTCATCCCCGAACTCCAGAAATTAAAGGATGGGGCCCCACCTGCTCAAACTTCGCGAACTCGGCCATCGCCAAACGCTGGCTTCAACAACAGCTGAAAGCCTCTTGCGGTTGCTGTAGCTGCGAACCAAATGCATGCGAGGGCATTCAGTTTCAGAGTTTGCTAAACGCCAGAAACCGCGTCCCGGCTAACTCTATATACGAGGACAGAAATAAGAAATCCGATACTTAAGCCACATCTTAACACAAATCCGGACCTCGAGAGAATGCACAGGGTCCCGACCCTGCACCCTGAACGCTGGACAACCCTGAACCCCACACCCTCAGCCATAGCCACCTAAACCCTATAAGCCAAAAGCCGGTGGACACATGGGCCCGAACTCCCTCCAGCAGGGGTCTCCCCAGCAAGCCGTGTGTCATACTAGGCCAGCTATATTCCAGGTGCTGCTTCACAAATAAATTCGCTTGTGCTTTGAGGGGTACGAAACCGTGCATTCCACACCTTCAGTTCCGTGCGGGAATGGCACCAGGTACGGACAAAGACACTGCAAGAGATAGCCTTCCAGTTCTACGCTACAGTGAAAGAGCAGAACACTGGATTTTCCGATGCTTGACGAAGATCTTTCCAAGGAATCTGTCATGTTCCACAGTGAAAGATTCTATCAAATCTGATTAGGGGCGGCCCACGGCGGGTACAGATGGCATGCTGAAGTGTATGCTGCTTCACCCACAATTGGGCAGCGGCTACTCGGCTACTGTGGGTCATTGCTCTGAAACTGCCATCGCACGTTCTGGTTAACTCAGGCACCCATTACAAGGGACAGGCAGTAGTTGTGCGACAACATATCGCAGCCACTTTGTTGTAATAGATGTCTTGAGACGAAGCAGCTGCCACCGCAGGCTGGGCTTTTTTCCAGCGGCCAAGCGTGCACAGCGTCGAGGAAGGGATCTCCTCAGCAGCTGAGGCCTGCAGCTGGGAACAATACCCGCCAAAGGGACCAGCACGAGAAGTCTGTTCAACAGTTTAATAACACTATCTTGTTTTGGAGCCAACTGTGGTACTCCATATGTCACTGTAAGGACGTACATATACACAAATGCACTTATTTCTTTGTATACACACACATATATATATATATATGTGTAAATATACATGTAGACCTGTGTACATATACACATGCATACCTCTGTACCCATATACATATATACGTAAACACATATGAGAACACATATACATACATACATACATACATACATAATTACATACATACATACATACATACATACATACATAATTACAAACATATACATGTACACATACACAGAAACATATAATGTGTATGTGTGTAGATATTCGGTAAAGCCGCAGCACTCCACCCCCTCGGCCTGCAAAACGCGCCCATCTGTCATCGCAGCAGTTGGAGCAGAACTCTATCAACAGCAAGGATCGCTGTAAGATTTAATCTAACCTGCACACTCTGACGACCCCTCGGCCAAAGCTCAAGTAGCACCATCTCCGCAGACGAGCAGCCCTCAGCCCTAAGCCCGTTTATAAGCCCGATCAACCCTCTGAGCGTAATAAACCCTAAAACTCCAAACCTTACAGCAGATCTCGGGGGTCTGTTATGCGATAACTGATTCTAGTAGTACCAGTTGTTCACCCTTGCATACTAGAGGGCTGAAGGTATTTTGTACTGTGAAGTTTTCGAACAGCTTTCATTCTTCCGAACCCGTGTTAACGGATCCGCTCATTCTGATGCAGAGCCTGCTGGCCTTAACCCCACACTTTGGGACGCCCCGGGGGCAGCTGCGGCATCTTCCTTCGTCAAGCGGCTGACTGGGATAACTTCATTCAAGCAGGGGTTTAGGATTTGTGGTTTAGAGTTTACGGTTTAGGGTCCCTGTAACCCCTGGAATTTCCGACTTCGGCATCTTGTACCAAGCTTGACGGCGCGGATGGACTTTTATGAAGAGCTGTTCAGACAATTGACATTGGGGATCGGATGTGGCCTCGGGGCAGTGCTAGATTGTGTGCAATCCTGCCACACTATTTTTTCACAATCTGTGCAACAAGCTGTCTGTGTATTGCAACTAGAGGAGACTGCCACCACTTTTGGGCCTCTGTTTGACCTGTAACTTTAAACGTTCCATGCTTGCTGAGTCGATCGTAAGCATGCCGTTGAAGTTCAACGGTATGTAAATGCCAGATTCGACCTTCAGTTCAGCAACTAAACCCTAAACCCCAAAACCCTAACCCGTAAACCTCAAAACCCTACCCGGGCACCTCTTCCTCCTGGCTTTCCGCTCGAAAGAAGCAGTCAGGTTCGGAGGATCGTAAGCCTGCAACTTCTGCACTTGGGAGTTTCCGAAAATTAAGGGTTCCTTTGAAGGGGTACTATAAGGGTACTATGAGGGTTCTATAAAGGGTTAAGGGTTTGGAGTTTCCGAAAATTAAGGGTACCTTATTTTGGGGGCCCTTATGATAAGGATCCTACTATTTTAGGGTACTATATTAGGGTCCGCTATTTTCGGAAACTCCCGATATATATATATATATATATATATATATATACACATATGCATACATACATACACATGCATACATGTGTGTATATATATATATATATATATATATTTATATGTATGTATATATACATATCTATATATATATATGTATGTTGTCTGCATGTACATGTCATTGTACGTATACAAGTGCTTGCTTGCGTTTTAATGGTCTATATGTGCACACATAGCAGTAAATAAGTAAATGGGAAACTGAAGAAACAAATAGCTACATACACAATGCTAGGTATGTATGTATGTATTTCATTCATACATACATACATACATACGTGCTTGCATGTATGCATGCATGCATACACATAGACACAGACATACACACAGACATACATACAGACGTACATGCAGACGTACAAAGATACAAATATCGTAGCAGCATCTAAGTGGAATTACATCGATATGTATGTATATATACATGCATAAATGTATCTGCATATGTATATATATATATATATATATATACGTATACTCTGCACACACACATTCCTCATGCTGCATGTACACGCATACAACTGTGCATATAAGCAATATCTGAAGATCGAAAGTCTGAACCAGTGGCCATGCCGGCCTTTGGGTCAACGGACCCCGGAATGCGCCAAAGGGCCGGCTTTGCCTGCACAGCATGAGCTGCTTGTCCACAAACTAACTAGTTCATGGTTGGGAGGATTCCTTATTGGGTTTAAGTACCCATAAACATAAAGAATGTTACCCAACTATGACAAAGCTAAGGGCTAGGACTTGGCAATTGGCTCTCGTTTTAGGGTTGAATTTGTAAGGGTCTGTCTGGGGTTAGCTTGCACGGATAACGGTGTGGCGCCTTAGCGCTTAACCAAGTGCAACCCCAGAGCTTGACCCTGTAATAGTAATAGTAATAGTAGTAATAATAGTAATAATAATAATAGTAGTAATAATAATAGTAATAGTAATAATATAGTAATAATAGTAATAGTAGTAGTAATAGTAATAATATAGTTGGTCTTTGGAGACACGTGAAGCCCTGGTTCATAAGCCTCTGTCTTCGGAGATGCTACTAGAAGTCCTTTTGAGGGAGAGCGGTTTATTAACCAGGGGTTTAGGGTTTAGGGCAATATTCTTTCAAATCAGAAGGCGAGCAAGCAACCATCACCCATCAGTCAGCAATCCAAGCTGGTCATGCAGCTTGACCTGTGGAGTGTGTCTACACTCAAGCTGGCATGCTTTGTACTGCACTGCAAGAAAGAGGGCCATATAACCCTATATTCTGCTATAGCAGATTTGAAGCGAGTAGGCATACAACCCCCTAGATAGACCTATACTTATGAACCGGAGAGAACCAACTCGTCCGATCGGTTGGGGACTTCTACTGAGTTATACTGCATTTTCTACAAATATTATGTTATACTGTGTCAATGGTGTATCATGGTATATATTCAAAGTTCATATCTATAAATTCTACATTATAGTGTATTATATTGGTTTGGAGGCGATTTCGGGTTGAACCCAAAGCCGGCTGGCCCGTCCTTCGGGGGCTCCCTCGCCGGGTTCACGCCCATCTCCTCGGCAACCTGGGACTAACTACCCGCGTGACCCGGGTAGTTCCTTTTTGGGGTTCATATATAGAATCCTATAAGGTACTCCCAAAAGGAACTACTATGGGGCCTTTGGGTAATATAATATCATATCATATAACATAGTGTAGTCTCATGTATCACAGCATAGTAAACTGTACTAGATACATAGTGAAATGTACCATCATATACGGTCTAACTGCGGGTTTCAAGCGCAGGGAGGGGTGTTTAGCGCCTGACAGGTTTGGGAGGCTTCGGCCGAGCATTGTCCGGAAGAAGTTCAAGCAATTTGGGTAACCAGCGTTCTGCCGGACAAATTCCAGAATTCAGGGTCTTGACAAGATATAGACACATGCATCCCTCTTTCAATTACGAGACTTGGAGGTTCATGGGTAATTATAAGTGGCGTCACAAGTCACCCTGAACTAAGTACAGTGGCCCTACTTATAACCCCACTTTTCACTTATAACTACCAATGACCCTCCAACTAGAGGCCCCTGACCTCCCATGTCATGCCGGTGTTAAGCCCGGAGACTCCAAAGTCTCTTGACGTGGTTCAAGAATATGTTGATTAAATCACATTGGGCTTGCCATGGTTATTTAGCGTGTATTCTTTATTAAGAGGTTTTGGGGTCTCTGGGAACATTCAGGATTGATCAACGGTTGGCCTTCTAGAGTTGCTGAGCTAATTTTGTTAGTCTCCGAGGCATGGAGAGGGCTCAGTCAGTCTGTGATTCTCGGGCCCAGACGTTCATGAGCTTTGTGTGCTGTCTCATTTTCCAAAACAGGGAGTCGCCAGCCTCGAACATGCCGGCCTTGGTGCAACATGGCTGACGGCATGTGACTCGAAATACAACTCGCAAGACAAGATGAACCAGGTGAGCTCTAAATCGACCGTGACTAATAAAAGTATTTATAAACAGCAGCGACAAAGTATGAGTTAAGTATAAACATACACATAAGTATACATATATATATATATATATACGTGTGTATATATATACATATATATACACATGTTTCTATGAGCGTGTGTTATGTGTATATATCCATATACATATATGCATACATAAATAACTATATACATACATATATATATATAATATGTATGTATGAATGTATGTACATCTGTTTGAATCAAATGATACTGATACCGAGTATTGGTGCATGGTCAATCGCTTCTTGCTGGCGCCAGGAGGTTGCTTGACATAAGCACAATCTTCTTGCACTTGATCCGAGCTTGCACACATTTTTGCCTTGACCTTGCCTGGCCTTCGCAAACCGCCTCTCTTGTCCTTTTTGGCGCTTCTACCGCCACACTGAGCACTTTACTCTCTTGCCAGTTTCCGTTTAGTCGTATCCGAATTGTTCGGTGTGGGGCGATAGCTGATGTGCTCTGCCAAACGACGGCCGAAGTGGTGATGTTCCAACAGGCTTTGCATGCTGTGGCAAAGCTTTTAGAATTTTAGGGGTAAGTTGAGAGTCGGCTCCCAGGCCAGGCTTCCAAGATCCCTTCAGGGCTTAGTCCACATACTATAACAATACCAGAATTATCGCACTCTACATACCTAACTGCGGTCAGACTATGACTCTTAATGCATTATACACTGTTACGACTCTCACGAGGTGTTTCGCTGCGACAGGCGGGTTTCTACGAGGCATTTGTGCTGGCAGTTGCGGCAACTGCAAGCACCAGCCTTGTGAGTGTACGTCTGGGACAATACAACAGAACTCTACATCCCAAGCTCCCAAACCCTATAAACCCTAACATCCTAAACCCTGAACCCTAAAATCCTAGCCCTTAATCCTAAACCATTAAACCCTAAACCCTTAAACCCTAAATCCTTAAATCATAACATCCTGAACCCCGAGCTCGGCACGTTCTCGCAGGCTCTAATCGCCGGCATGTAGTTGTCCTGCGGCTGCCGTCTACTGTAAAGGCCTTAATAATTCATAAGGGCTTTGGGCGAGCATGGTTTCGGTGTATGATATATTATAGTCAAGAAACCCTAAGGCATCGTATCGGTAGTTATGCAGGCTGCTGTGTTGGAGGCAAAATTTTCCGTAGAACCCCATCGACCGAAAAAGCTAGCGTACCCAGAGGTCCAAGTACTCCCTATTTTAGTACTTTAGAGCCTTTATAGGTATCAGAAACCATAAGTAAGGACTACTTGGACCCTTAGGGGTATCTTGCGTGTGTCACATCAGCGCGCGCTGTCCTCGTTGGGCACAATGCTATACTCCCAAAGCTGGTCCAGGAGGTTGAGTGCCTGTCGCTGAGGGCTTAAAGCTTAGGGTTGTTATTTGGTTTAATTTGGGTGCCCCCCATACAGTACCAGTCTATAATAGGGCTACCATTAAGGTCCTAATATATCTGTATTACTATCCAACTGTTACTGAGTGGGGCCAGTACCCATGGTTTAATGCTTAGGGTTTGGGAGTTAAGTGGTTTCGGGCTAAAGGACTTGAAAAACCCGAAAGTCTCATCTGGATTTCGACTTCACGGCTGGAGCACCGCAACTCCGGGAACTAATGCGTCTGCTAGAGTTCATAGTGCACTGAGCAGGCGGACGTGCTGCCGCACCCTGCAGCACTCTGTGCGTCTAGGGTTTAGGGTTCAGGGGCTTGCATCTCGAATGTTCGCCTTGGCACCAATCTGCGTGCTTTTCAGCCAGCGGCCAAAGGTGTACACCCTACGCCGCTCTGAGTATACGATTCTACATCTCGCCTGGCTTATAGGCTGCGCGGCTTACGGTTTCATGTCTTTGTCAATACACCCTAAATGTAAACATTCTCCAAATTACGATGCCCGGCAGTTAAGTGTACGGGCTACAATTGCCACAGCCCATACACTCTTACAATCTGGCCTTTGAAGCTCACCTGAAGAGCCATGGCCCTGAATCCTATACACTTCAAGGCCCTACGCAAACCTAGTTTAGGAACCCTGAACCCCAAACCCTACCCAAAATCTCGGCCTTCTCCCACTTCGCACCCTGCTCGCATGCCATGAGAGCATGCTCCGCACCGATACGAAGGGGGGCCTCCGCTGGAGATTTCCGCTCAATGTTGGTTTAGAGTTTAGTTTAGGATGTAGGGTAGTTCACAAAATTAGGATCAAGGGTGCAATGCTCTTTTGTGGACCTGAAAAGAGACCCTAGTTCAGAGAATTCTTTCCTCATGCAGGGTTCAAGGGTCTATACCCGAAAAGAGGCCTGAGGAACGCAAAGGAATGTCGGTGAATGTACTTCGCTGGGAACCAGCAGCCAGCCCTTAATTACCCTACGAACTGAAAGCCAGGTGTCCATGTTGTGTTCCATCATCTCGTCCAAGGCCTCCACTGCCTCGGCAGTTGCCACACATGAATGGTTTGGGGTCTAGCATGAGTCCTAAGGACATGTCGGGTACATGCACTTGACATATTGGTATGCAGGGGCCGAGCTAAGGTGTTATGTAATACAGCCTCAAGTTCGAGTGCTGCATAGCGCAATAGACCGGTATCGCACCACACGAGCAAAACCAGCACCCGGATCCCTAGCTCAATGTGGAACATAATGCATAGCTATCTAAATTAGGGTGCCTTGGTCGTCCCTAAAAATTGTACGACACCCCAAAAAAAAAGGATCCGAAAAGGGAATCTAATTTAGAGAATTACCCACACGAGAAAATCGCCCCGAACCCCTTTCGTCACCCCGAGTCACCTGTTAAGAAGCTCCTAGCTCGCCATGACTCCCAGAACAACAGTGTAATGTTCATATATAACGAGATTACGAATAATCGTAGTAGTCATGTTATGAAAAGCAAACACAGTAAGAATAGCAAGAATAATGACAAAAACAGCCATGATCAGAAAAGGAATAGCAGTAACATTATTAAGAACATGAGTTCTATTCACAATCAGAAAATGAACAACACAAACATGTATAATCAGACTGCTAAATGAAGAGGAAAACATAGTAGTAGCGGAAATACCGGCCTTCCACCACTTGCCCATGGTATTGTACGCAACGATCGCGGCAGTGTACGTAGCTGGAGTCCTGGCGCAGCTGGCGAACGAAACCACAGATGTGCATCCATGCGTACCTGGAAAGGGCTTAATTTGAATACACTAGAAAGCATAGTTGTACATTGCAGCAATGCTACGCCCACTGGGCCATTGCACGGCCTACAAACCCCAATCAACCCGCTATAGCCGCTGCAGACCATTCAAAGGGAACACGAACTCCGACTGCAGGAATGAATCGCCAAGTAAGAAGGGTGCGCAGTCTTGAGAGCCAGACTTGTATTGTCTTCTTGCGAGGACCGCACCCAAGACTGCTTGCATCAGTAGAACTGCTCGTTCACATCCCAGCGACGAAGCCGTTTACAACCATTGCAGGTAAGTAGAAACATCTGGGTGCAGAATAAGACATCATCACTCGGGGTTTAGACAGCATCCCGGCAAAGGTATCTTCTTGAAGGCACTGAAGTCAGCTGAACTCCTAGCAAGGCCAGAAGACCACAAACATGGCAGATGGTCTCTTCCAAGCCTTTTGCCTTGTAGCAGAGGAATCTGCGAAAAAGACTCCCCAAGGGATGTCGTGTGAGGTACTTACTGTTTCAGTTCCTTAGGAGAACTCCATGAATCCTTTGGGGTTACAGCGGACTTGTAGCATATAGATAGGAACTTACAATGAATGCCAATTCGCGACGACTATCTGACCTGAGGGAATCTGGCGAAAAAAAAAAAGCCGAAGCTGAGACCAAACACATCCTGACACCTGAAGCCTTCAAGAACATAAATGTTTCGAGGGAGGGAAGTTATGATTCTTTCATTTTAGGATCCACGGAACCTTGAGCAGAATCCAAGTACGGTTAGGCACCAAGCCGATAAGTTCACACACCTATCCGAAGCAATAGCGGAAGCTTCGGGACAAAGTTCATGGCATGAAGCAGCAGAAGGAAAGATAATGCTGAGAACAATGCTTTTTGGCTCCTGCATGAATTTGCACGAAAGACAATCCTCGCCAGCTACGGACTTGCGGAAGTTGACCTGTCCGTACATCAACATCCGAGGCTCAGGACTTTTAAGCTCCTAAAACTGAACCATAAGCCCTACACCCCAAACCCCTAAAACTGAATCCCCAAACCCAAAGCCCCTAAAACTGCATCGCTAAATCCCACAAACTGAATCCCGAAACCCTGAAACCCGAAATTTGAATTAGCAACCGCCAGGCAAGAAGAGAGTACTGCACTCTGTAGGCTCCCAACTCTCATTCTCCGCCACAGGTCCAGGGCCTCGTTTGAGCACTTCACCTGGAGTTTAGGGGTTTAGAGGTTTCGGGGTGTCGGGCTTATAGGGTTTAGGGCCGGGTTAAGGGAGTAAGGTTCAGGGTTTAGGTTGGGTACGGCCCCCCATACAGTAACAGTCTAAAACAAAAGTACTATTAAGGTCCTTTATATCGTTCCTCGAATGAATATGCAACCGTTGCTGAATGGGGGCAGCATCCAAGGTTTAGAGTTCATGTTCCGGAATGATATTTTCCGTCTGCCCGCATGTCCGGGTATCCCTATGTGGATGATGGGTGAGCCCTTAGGTCGGAGCACCACCACCACCACCACCACCACCACGACCACGACCATTACCCACCACCACCACCATTACCACCATTACCATTACCACCACCGCCATTACCACCATTACCATTACTATTACCATTACCACCACCACCCCCACCACCGCTACAGCCACAACAACAACAACACCAGCAGCAACAGCAAGAGCAGCAGCAACAACAGGATAACCTTGTTCTGCCCATGATCCGGCTGTCATGTGCAACTGTAGGGCTCAGGCCTCAGTCATTTTCTTCATGGCGCACCTGAGCTGTCCCTCAGCCCCGAGCCCTGAACCCCAATCCTCGTCTCCATCGGCCATGTAAGTCTTCGTAGCTGAGAGAGTTCCGGGAAACAGCTATAAGCTTTGGCAAGCTGGCAAGGACCTGCAGTGCTGCGAGCAGTACATACACCGGAGACAGCCCATATGCAAAAGCATGAGCAGAGCAATAGCGACAAGAAGCAAAAACAAGGAGTGGGTGCGGGCCTCAGTGCGGCCAAAATCTCAATTTTGAAGTCAGCTTAATGTAGGAACCTGATTAAGAAACCCTGGGCCCATAACCCCCAATATAGTAGTAGGGTTCATATATGGAACCCGAAGAAAGGCCCAGGATTTCTTGATCAGATTCCTACATTAGGACTAGGGGCTCCAAGGCTTCGCGGTCAGGTTCAGGTCTGTTCATAGTGCCATATGGGAGTTTCCGAAAATAGGGGACACTAATATAGGACCCTAAATAGTAGGATCCTTATTATAAGGACCCCTAAATAAGGTACCCCCAATTTTCGGAAACCCCCATATGTGAAACTTTAACTTTCGCAGATTCCCCACACTGCAAGTGTCGTTTCGGGGGAAGAACCAAGCGTCAACATGAGCGATAGAACCACTCCTACACCCCAAAATTCAAAATGGAAGAGTGTCTTATGTCTTAAAAACTGGACCGACGCCTCTGAACCAAAGGTGACATCAGCTAATACAAAATTCGACCCTGACACATGCTTTCGCAGTAGTCACCCACACAGCTTGAATCCGAAACTCGCCCGAAACCCTCACATAAAACCCTAAACCCGGCACCCCAGACCCTGCGAGCTCTGAACTGCCCTGCATGAGGGTTTCGGTTTTAGCTTCCTAAAATCCTAGACACTGCCTCCCCACTTGTCAAGTACCTACCTGAACCATAAACCTTGCCCTAAACAGTAATTCAGGCACGTCTTCGCGTCTTTTGACAGACCCCGCTCTGAAATCCAAGGTGCACGTACTCCCAGCTGGTAATGAAGTAGGATCGCCTGTTGCGGACGCTGAAAGTAGTTTGTACAATAGTATTCCTTGATCGTCCCCAATATTTACTTTTGCTCTAACGTACCCCAAATACCATATTCCCGACACTCAACCTGGACAGCGAAAATCTATAAACCCGACAGCTGCCGCTCCGAAACGGCACCATAATTCCGCTCCTCGTTTTTCTTTTTATATATACATGATTCGAACCCTAATCTCTATCTTCCACAGACCGAAGCCCTCAACCCCACAAGCACTTTCAACGTACAGGATAAACATACTGCATTATAGGAAAAACCCTGATTATTGGTTATATACAGAAAACAACCTGCTTGGTCCGTCTGCTATTGTGGCTTGATTTTCTCCTCCGCCTCTACGGGATGTTGAGGGTGCTGCGAGAACTTGCTACATAATGAACCTCTACCCAGAGGCCCCAAAGTAGTTCCTGTTGGGGGTTCATATATAGAATCCTCTAAGGTAATCCCGAATATGAACTACTATGGGGCCTCTGGGTAGCATGGTTCCCGGATTTGAGCAGAACTCGTCTTGCTGAGCTCGCGTCTCTAGCATCAGGCGTATCGACCACCGGGCTTTGCTGGCGGGACAGGAAGGGTCCTGCAGTGCTCGCAGCGTCCGGCTTGAAGAGCAAAGAAGTAGAAAGACCATCTAGCCCTAAGCCTCTCAACATCCTAGAAGGGGGGAGAGAAAACGAGAGAGAGAGAGAGAGAGAGCGAAAGATCCAGAGAGTGCGCTTTGAATTCCCCAAGATGTCGTCGAAAGAACTTTTCATGCATCTCCAGATCTGGCATTGTCGCAGTATCTCTCCGAAGCCACCCTGAAAGCTTCACAGCAAGGGCGGGGGGTCCTGAAGGTTTGCGATGAGGGCTTGCTTGCTTCGCCTCATTGAGGGTGCATCTGATGCAGCTGAAAGGAAGGGTTTAGGGTTTAGGGGTTTAGGATGGTTTAGGGGTTTAGGATGGTTTAGGGGTTTAGGGTCTTGTACTGATTCAAGTTTAGAGTACAGGCAAGACATCACGAAGCGCTCCAGCGGTCGTACGTCTGGGGGACCGGCACGCCCTTCCTGGTGTTGCTGCGATTCATTGGCCGGTTGGGCCTTATACAATCGGGGTTGCAGAGCAAGTCTGACAGGTTACCGAGTGCGGAATCTGGTGCTTCCTACTCGCCGCTTCTGCGAAAGGGTCAGTGAACGACCTGCTTGAGATTGACATTGACTCGGCATAACAGGAATCTCTAGAAAATAATACGGCTTCCTTATATGGCAACTTAAATTAAACCCCTTGACACCTAAACCCTGTATTGAGCCCTTATAGATCCCTGAAAGGAACCCGATAATTATGGTAACTCATTGTGGTAACTTGAAATGAAATCCTTGACAAGAACCCAGGGCACTCAGGACAGGTCCATGCAAAGGCGAGGGTGGTACCTGCGGAAGAAGCTCAGCGTAGAGGGCTTCGGGGATTGAGGGCTCATAGTCCTTTCAATTTTAGAGTTTAGGGTTTAGAGCGGACTTCCTGAGAGGTCAGATGAGTTCAGGAAAGGGGTGTGCAAACGACCACAGGCCCCATTTTATCAAGAACTACTGATTTACTCGTGTCCCTTTGCTGGCGCACCCAACCATGCGACGAGCAGCAGCCCACCGACGAGCCATATCCTGGAAGTGTTGCGTTGAGGCCAGCATTTTCGCAGAGGCCACATTGATTTGCTTGGCGAAAGGTTATGAGGGATGCGCCAGAATGGCAACACTCACTTCCGAGGCGGTTCTGTTACTTGCGCTGCTAGTGCTAGAGTCCACAACTCCTTTTTCTTACCATGGTCGAGCATGCCGAGTGGAAACAGCGGACGGTAGATTTCCGATGCAACCTGACCTCGAGATTCATCCGATAGGATTGCATCCCATGCAACCTAACATCCAAGAACATGATCCACAAGGGGAATCTGAAAAGATCCGCTGAAGACTTTCATTTTTTAGATTTTTGTATGGCCTTGTACAACACATCCTGCAATGGAAGGTGTCTCAACGTTGTTTTGAGCAGTTGCACCCCGTTGGCAGAAGCTGAAAGCTTCAGGATGTTGATCTCAAGCGGATCGCAACCTCAAGCTTTCAA